AGACTTATTAAAGTATGGCATCAAATCAAGGAAGTGATAATATGTGCATGCATGGAACTGAAATTCAATTTGTGCAAGAATAGAAGACAGTTCAATATATCAACCATGCATGCAGATGATGGTGCATGTGCTGTCATACACCACATCAATTTAAAACTTAAGCTTATGCAGGACAAAAATAATTAAAACATAAAAGTATCAGAAATAAGAAGCTAAGAAGAATAAACCAAAACACAAAAAGCCCAAGTATGGGGGTCCTGAATTTTATTCAGTACACCAAAAAGTGAATGAGTGTGTGAGTGAGTAGCCTGTAATTAAATAATTATCACCCCTTTCGTTCGTCTAAATCGTTGACTTATTCGAAATCTGAAAGGATCGTCATTCTTCAACTTAATTAGAAAAATGAATATCATAAACGGATTCTTGATCAGCAATTAATTTTTTTTTCCTGCTCCACGTTATCTTATTGGCCACTCAAAGTACACATGAAATACTGGCCATGGATTGTCATGCAAGAAAGCCATCATCATCATTACAGGAATCTTTAATATATTATTCAAGCCGGCGTCTCTGACTAACTGAACTTGTATTTAAAAATCTGCTGCCTGGATCTGTGACCAGTTGAGGTTATAAGTATTTAAAAATCTGCTTCCTGGATCTGTGACCAGTTGAGGTTATAAGTACGGTTTTTCCCATAATCTGATGAACCACAAACATGGCTGCAGAACAATTAGATGCACTACTATTTCTGACCCTGGTTTTAATGTTTGTAAATGCATCAGCTATTCCATCAAACAGATTAAAGTCTTTGAATATCATCAAAGAAGTGAACAGAAAAGGGCCTTACGTTGGTCTAATTACTGTTTATCCACCGGAGGAGAATGCCTTTTTTGCATCTAAGGCCTTCAAGCCTAATGGGAAGCATCCTTTTGTGGATCTCTCAGGTGATGTCTGTGATGCGATCTCATTGGACATTAGATGCCTGTAGACAGGCGAGCTCTTCAAGCTTGCATAGCAAATTAATTGTGGTTGTTTGTTGCAGGACGACGGTTCCGGGTCGGAAAGGTTCAGGGTAAGAAAGTTATCTACGTGAGATGTGGGGTTGGAATGGTAAGCAAAGATACTAATTACTTCTGAATTCTGATGCATATATTCTAGATGAAAACTTCTGTGGCTGATATGTCCAAATGGCATCATAGAGCTTCTTAAATCTTATTAGGGGAAACCAAGTTAGTCATAACACGAACCACTTGTCCTTGAAATCATTCCAGTTTAAATTCACACAGATCAGTGGGTAATAAAAGATTTTCCTATCTTTTTCACATAATCTGATGTAGGGTCCTAGAAGGGGAGATTTTAAATATGATCAGGAAATGCCATTCTTCCTGTAACATGAATTTTCAAGCTTATTTAATCAAGGTTTTTTTTATTTTGGCTCTTTTAGGTCAATGCAGCTGCAGCAACACAACAAATGCTGGACATGTTTGATATAACAGGAATAGTCCATTTTGGCATTGCTGGAAACGTAAACAATTCCATGTCCATTGGAGATGTTACGATCCCGGAACAGTTTGCTCACACTGGCATTTGGGATTGGCTGGTACAAATTCGTCAATGCCTGTCATCTCTTCTCCATCTTTTTCTTGTTATTTTGTTCTTTATAAAAGAAGTATACACTTGACAGAATCCTAAAGGACCATTGCCCACCAATGATATTGCTGAATTGGACTTTGGAAGCTACAACGTACCAAAAGGAGATGGGATGAATCTGTTGGGAAAGATTGGATATAGTTATGAGCAGTTCTTTTCTGAGTCAGGGAAGCCTAATACTGCCATACCATTATTTTGGGCACAAATAAGCGAACAATGGCTTCAGCTTGCCGCTGGCTTGGAGGTTAATTATCTTGATTTGTGAATGTTGCTTCCTTTTCTATATATATATATAATTTCCAGTTTTGATGAATTTTTCAATCCTGATATACTCCAGGGGATGGAACTGGAAAGGTGTGTGAATTCAAGTGTGTGCCTTGCTCGAAAGCCTAAGCTAGTCGTTGGCCTCAGGGGTTCAACAGCCAATATTTTTGTGGACAACGCAGCTTACAGGGATTTCCTTTATCAAACTTATGCTGTTTCATCAGTGGATATGGAGAGTTTTGCTGTAGTTATGGTAAGATTGCTCGGTTTGCTCTTCAGTTTTGATAGTTCATTTTTCTTCTCTTTTTTGTGTCCCCATCTCCTCGCATACCGATGTCTACATGAAGCAAAGAACATAATATGCATTATGAGAGCACCTTCTCAGCTTGTGTTCAGACCAAATTAATATGCATTATGAGAGCACCTTCTCAGCTTGTGTTCAGACCAACTGTGCTGCATAATAGCAAGCGATTAGGTCCTTAGAAATGCAATGAAAGATTTAGGTTTTGGAGGACTGAATCTACCCAATTTGAGTGGCCTGACATTGTTGATGTTTATTAGTAAATTGTCTAAGATGCTTACCTTTTCAAACCAGACTGTTACAGTCGACAATTGTATTTTGCTCTTCAAGATATTTTAACAATTTATGGTGGTTTCCCAGACAAGCTTGTCAAACGGGTATCCTGTGATTGTCATCAGAGGGCTATCAGATTTAGCTGGAGGACAGACCGGACAGAATGCAATCCAGACATTTGGAGCCTTAGCAGCTCGCAATGCTGCCCAAGCTGTTGTCAAATTTATCGGATATCTGTCTTAATACTAATCATCAACTAGCTTTCTCATATAATGTGTTACAACACTGCAAGTTCTTCCACAAAGAACATATCTTATACCCATCATTAAAACCAACTATCAGTTTATTTTATTGCCAGTTGGGAGTGACTTGCGTGATATATTTGTCCATAGCAGCTTAAGTACAATCTTATGAATAAGTTGAAAGTCGCGAAGATAATCCATCTTTTGGATCTCAAGACAAACAATCATAATTCCAGATTAGTTGAAGATAGTATCATGCATACACATCGAACTTCTCCCAAAGAGAACATGCTAGCAACCAATCCTCAGGTGAGATCAACTGTATGCAGAACACGTAAAAAAAATAAATAAAGGGTCTATTAGCATCAGTGAGAGCTGCCAAGGAATCAAAAGTTCAACATGGATTGAAGTAATACTCAGTAAAACGAGGAATGCTCATGACATCAAACAAACCTGTGCGAGCACGGTTGGAGAGTCCATACAACATTGATTGATCACTCCTCCAGCTTGCTTTAGAGGAAATCTGACAAAATCTGCCAACTGAGCAAAAACAAAGAGAGATTGAAATTCTCTTCGATGGAAGAAAATTAAGTAAAAGAGGATCCATTTAACATGAGAATTTACTCAGCATACCAAAGCAAGTAATACTAAGAATATCCATCTAAATCTCTCTTATCAAACAATTAGCCATAAGAAATACACAGAGAGTCAACGAAACAGACTCGGCCTGACAGAAAAATCCGAGATTCGGGTCGTGACATGCAGACTCTTTTGCTACTGGAGATATGATCGGCCTGACAGAAAAGTTGTTGATGATACATGGCACCTGCAGTGTGATGTTTTGAATAAATATGTAGGAAAATACAATAAAGCTCTTAATGGCTTAAAGTGTGGGTATAAATGAATGAGGGGGTAGTGTAGTAACTCAACAAAACTTGATAAATATAAATAGAAAGTAA